TTTAAATAAATACATTAAAAAATTACGAATTTACAAACGTGAATGAAGGTTACTTAATTATATTTTATTTGTACTTTTTTTCTATTTATTTTTTGAGGACGTTGTGTAATATTGTGTGAGAACAGCGCAAATCAATCGATGCAAGGTTAATTATGTAAAAATTTCATTGATTGCGGTGATGCTTTGATACCTTCGGACGCATGACCAATCAAGTAAAAAGAAAAGAAAGTTTTTCATTTGTTTTGTCTTGTAAAAGAAAACCACTATATTGGAACAGTTGTTTCTTAAGCATCGATTATGTTATGTGCCGCATTTCCCAAGAAAGTTTTCTTTCTTTTAACCGAAGCAAAGTTTCCTCTACTTACATGCAACAATGATCAGAAGAAATTTAACACTTTATTAATCCATTTTTATTACCTTATTAATTCAAATTTCTATCAATATTTATAACTGTTTTTTTAAATGATTATATGAATGATTTAAGAAAAATTGAATTAATAAAAAAAATTACCAATTTTTAAGAAACTTGATGACAAAAATATTTTACAAAAATTTACTTAGAAAAAGTATAATTTAATTTTATTCTTTATTTTTGTTCGCTGTTGATATTAGGAAGTTATATAACGTTTGTATATAATATTTATTTATTCTTTACTTAAATCTAAATTGGAGATCCAAGGGCTTGAAGGGCTTTAATCTTCTCGATGTCACGCCGTTATCGAGAAGGTTTACCGCCAACGGGTTCGTATGCGAATCAAGCCTGTTCGTGTATTTTTTGAAGAAATCTTTGGCAACCTCTTCAACAGCAACCAATACATCTTGCTTTGCCTGGATATGATTCTTCCAAGTCATTCTCGCATCCAGGTGCATTCCCAAATATCTCACCCTTGAAGATGCTGGAACTACTTTGTTGTTGAGTTTGACTGGAGGACTGGTGTCTCATTTTAAGGTGAAAGTAACATGCACCGACTGGTTTATACTAATTCGCCATTTCCTGAACCATGTCTCGAGCAGATTAAGCTTTTCTTGAAGGTGTCGAGATGCAATTATGGGACTTTCGTCTGATACCATGATTGCTGTGTCATCTGCAAATGTTGCCATGTTTGTTTTTTCTGTTATTGGTATATATGCAATGTATAATAGATATAAAATTGGTCCCAAGACACTACCATGTGGAACGCCCGATTCTATGGGACTCAACTCAACTCAGTTTGTACTTCTTCCATAGAAACTTGTTGAGAAAAATATTTTACAAAAATTTACTTAGAAAAATAACGAATCTCATAATTATTCTAAGATTGCTGCTAGTAATTATTTCAAAAAATATTAAATTCTTGAGTGAAAGTCTCATATTTATATTGTTAATTTGTACTTTTTTTAAATAAATAATATTTTCTAATTATTATCATGTTTATTTACAATCTCCTAAGAGATTAAGCAAAGTAATTAGAAGGTATTATTGACTTGTGTATATAACAATCAACACTCCTTTTATAATATTTTATTCATCATTCTGAGTGCTAATTACTTTTGAAATAAATTGAGATAAATCCATGTAAAAGTTATGGATTTAACAATATTTTTTGTAACTTGAATTAACTTAAAAAAAGGAAACTTTCAACAAAAATATATAATTACTTCAGCTGTGAAATTGTAAATAATTAAAATCACAAAATAATTTAAAAAAAAGTGAGATTACTAAGTTTTTAAGTATTTATTTTTATTCAAATTATAACTTTTTATCGAATATTTTAATAACATTACATTTTTCGTAAAATTATGTTTAAATTTTTAAGTATCTATAAATAAAACCATATAAGTTGTAAACAAAAAACAGAAGAATCTCCGGTTCCAAAGTGATTTATAATAATAGCTTGGTAATAATAATTACAAAAAACATTATAATTCGGCAAAAACGAATGGTTTTTCAAAGAAATGTCTAATCTGTCATTGTTTACGATCCTAGAATTAAAACGAAATCTCAGTCGGATGAAATTAATGTCGAAAAAAATAATTCCGAGAAGTTGAAAGAAGTCATTAAGCGATATTAATAATCTAATGAAGAAATGTTTTAAGCTTTGAATGGTCATCAGGGAAAAGTCCAGTTGGATATTGAAGACATTTGCGGTTTGGTAGTAAATCGGTCCAAGTTCCAAGTAGCAAACGCAATTTCGGAACATTTTTTCCCTCGTTAAGGCTCATTAAAAGGCGGCCGAAAAAAGCAAAGGGGAGAACTGAACTAATAAAGATCGGTTTCGCAAAATGGCGGTGGCGAGGTGAGAGAGTATAATGTAACATTCGACACGCGTTTACACGAAAACACGCAGCAAGCTATGAACAAACGACCGCCGTTTAAATGGCGGAATGTGCACAGTATTATTATCCGTCTACACCACCCCAACTATGCACCATGCGAAATTGCCACCTCCCTTGAGTAGGGATCACAACAATCGTTTAACCCCATTAGAGGGTTGCAAAGATAAATCTTCACGAAACAATGACTTCGTGTGTTTGCAGTTTTTTTAGTTAGCGGCATTTTGTGCAGTTATGTGCATTAACTGTTTATTAAATGTAAATCATTTTTAACAGCTAACGCAACTCTTGTCCACAATTGAATACTATAACATAGCATAATAACACTCCAGGAAGTGTGTTGAGAGGTAATTCAAATCACTTTCAGGCACACATTAACTTAACGCCTTATAAACACAAGCAATTACCAACTTCGTCATTACACTCAACAAAAATATTATTTCACAATTACACAAGATGCTATAGACAATTTAAAACTAAACTGCATATTTACTATTATTGGCATTGTTTTTATTTGAAAGTGAAAGAAATAACTATTTTTAGTAGCATTTGTTGAGATTTTTCCATTAACTACTTGGTATAAAGACACTAATAAAGCAACTCAATAACTTTTCAGTTAATTTTTCAAATATGATACCAATAAATATATACAGTGAAACCTCACTTAACGAGTTTAATCCGTTCCAAAATTTCCTAATTTTTACTCGTATAGTGAAACATATTGAAAAATACACATAATATGTGTTCACAAGTTTTAAAAATGATGTAGCAGACACGAAATCCGGGACTTCGGATAGTCACTCGTTATGAGAAACGTCGCTCGTTAAGCGAGGTTCCACTGTATACTTAAAAACAAAATACTTTAAGTATTAATAATTTGTGCAAGAAATGAAAATATATATATATAAAATAAGTTAAAGCTTTTATAACTTAAATTCAGAAAACTGTATTAGTTGTTGGAAAGTAAGTCAAAACTATATTTATGGCTTTAAATGCATTATTGTGTAAATATTCATCAATAATTCACTATAATTCAATTTGAAAATTTCAATAAAATAAATTTTAAAAATGTTTTGACGTTTTTATACAGTAAAATCTCTTTTTTTATGCGATTTTGAATAGTCTGGTTTTAATTATTTTCGCAGAACCCGGACTATACGAGGTATTATCGTATTTTTTTTGTTTAATAAAAACATAAATGAAAATATTGTTGATGAGAAAATTAGCAATTAAAACACAATTGATTAGTTTTGAATTTAATGATAACATTAATTGCTAACTAAGTTTTGTAGATAATAATTACCATTGTAATTATTATTAAAAGATAGAAATATAAATTTTAAATGATTACAGAAAGTATCTTCAAAGATACTCATATTTTATTAATAATTTCAATAATAGTTTTAAAATGTACATGTTTATTATTAATTAGTAATTATTGACTAAAATTATGTCTGTTAAATTAAATATTAAATATTGATTTTGTTTATTTGAGATTATTTTATAAGAGATAATAAATTATATTTATTTTCAAATTAACTAAGAATAAGTAAAGTCCAAAATATAAGTGATTTATTTTACCAATGTTTTTTTTTTAATAAAAATTGTGTTCAAAAACGATAATTTGTATGAAATAAATATGCAAGAGGAAAAACATTATTTTACAACATTCCTAGAAATGTTGTCATCTCATAATTACGTAACAATACAAATATAAACTACTTTTCTCTCACCAATATTATTATAATATTTTCTGTAAATATAATTAATTATTATTGTTTTCTGCAATTATGTAATTAAATTACTAACGATTTGACCAACAAGCAACAACAATACTATCGTATACTTAATTAGTAACTTATATCATTTCTTATAAGATTATCTAACTTACCAAAGCGCCATCTTACATTATTTTTTTTTAAACCAATCCGAAGGAGTACTCACCTACAGATGGCAGCAGAATAGATGAGTCAGGGAATAGACCACTGTTTTTTGATTTTATAAGTAAAAAAAATATATGCTAGAAACCAACAGATTGCTCTTATATTTATTATATAATAATAATAATAATAATTTAATACAATAATATGTTTTCAAATTATTGTAATTAAATATTTCTAACAAACTATCTTATTTAATTAAGAACAGGTTGATTTTCATCAAGTTCTTGATATTTTATAGTTTAGGAAGTTAAGCAACTTTTGTTTTTTTCATGGATGATAACAATTCACGGTGATAACACAAACAATTTAAATAAACGCCGAAATAAATCATTATTAAAGGAATATTATTATAAATTTATGTTATCATTAACAAAATAAATATGGATAATAAAATACGAACTTCAAATATTTACTCGATACGCCCCTGTCCTTTTTGGTAGCATTAGAAGGGAGGGTGCATAAATGTGCGTATTTGAACTACTACCCTTCAGGGAAGCCACCCTTAGCAACTTAATACATTTGTACTAGTGAAATGCTTTAGATATTTCAATTATAGAATTAAGAAAATATTATCTTAATGTATGAATTAAAATTAGTCAATATATTTGGGAATTAATGAAATAAAGAATATAATTTTGTTCAAAATTGAAATTTGCAAGTGCCATCTACAGTTATATAACGAAAATAAATAAAGTTACAATTTCCCGCCAAATGTTTTAACCACTTTAACCTAAGTTCAATTTGTATCTGTGTTATACTGATATTTATTTGTGATATAAAATGGTTTTATCAGAAATGTCTGAATCTCAAGAGAGAATTACATCCCAATATAAAAATCTATCGAAGAGATTTAATAATCCAGGTTCAGATTATTCGAAACAGTACTGCTCAATTTACAATATCAGATTGGGTAAAATGAGACAAATATTGGCAGAGTGCATTCAAATCAAGTGGGGTCCAGATTATCCAGTATGCAAGTTACATGAACTTTCCACTTCATCATACACAAAGTGTGTTATAATTGGAACTTTATTCAAAGACCAGAAGTTGAAGCCATCAGTATTAAAACAATTAGCGGAAGGAAACCAGTTGGTCCCACAACCTGTCCACACCCATTTTACAGATGCTTCAGATGTGTTATATATTGAAGATGAATTACAGAGATATCAACTGAATGGTATTGTTTATATGAATGAATATTGGATTTTTCTAACTTGTTTGTTTTAGGTGGTTTGAACTCTTCAGATATTGTTACTGGTATTACTTGTGCCTTGTTAGGTCAAGATTTGGGGACTGGAAAATTTTTAGTGGAGGATTATTGTTTTGCTGGGTATAGATCACAAATAGAACGTCCTTTGAAAACTGAAGATAGCTATATTGTATTGATAAGTGGCTTAGATTTGATGCACATTGAGAAAAGCCTGCTTTCTTTACAACTGTTTAGTAATTGGGTATCTGGTGCTCTTGGTAAAATAAATAAATATGATCCAGCAAGTATTGCTCGAGTTATAATTGCTGGAAATTCTATTAGATCAGAGACAATCAAGTCTAAGCCTACTATCTCCATGACATCTAGAACTGAAGAATCTTCTGAAGCCATTGATGCAGTGAAAACTTTAGATACTTTCCTTGTTCAGCTATGTCAAGTATTAGATGTTGATATTATGCCTGGAGAACATGACCCATCCAATCATATTTTACCTCAGAAGAATATGCATCATTGCATGTTCCCAAATGCGGCTGTTTACAAATCCACGAATTTAGTTTCGAATCCATACGAATGTGATATTGACGGTGTTAGGATTATCGGAACTTCCGGACAACCGGTGACAGATATCCTCAGGTTTTCAGATATCCAAGAACCTATTGAGGTTTTAGAGAATTGCTTGAAGTGGAATCATATGGCTCCAACAGCTCCTGACACATTAGGGTGCTTTCCCTTCTACGACAACGATCCTTTTATATTTGAAGACTGTCCGCATGTTTTGTTTACAGCCAACACAGATAAATTCGATACGAAATTGGCTAAAGGTAATGCAGATTAAACGAGAATTAAAAATTGAATCAATCTTTAAATCATTTTTTAGGCGATCGTGGACAAGTTGTCAGATTAATTTGCGTCCCGGAATTCTCAAGATCGTTCACTGCTTGCATTTTGAATTTGAAAGATCTGAAGTGTGAACCAATAACTTTTAAAACTGTTTAATATATTGTTTGATTGTTAAATATACTTTTTTTTACTAGTTACATTTAACTCAAAAGGTATAAAACCCGTGTTTTAGTGATATATTTAGTGATGCGTCCTTTAAGAATGAAATTATATGCCTAGTTTATACGGAACGTTCACAATTAATGGAGATTGCGGTAATTAAGTTAATTACAGGTTTGAGGAAGAAAAACATGTTTATTTCAGATTTATACACGTAACGAATAGTAAATTTGTATGAACGAATGGTAAGTAATGATTCAGGTGTCCTTATATTGTTAATTATACATCAAGATATTTTCTTATACATATAAATAAACATAACTTATTTGTAAACTTAAACCTAAGACATTGCTTTTTTGTAAGATTTAATCGAAACAATTTTATTTAAGTTCTGGAAGAATAGCATAGCGGAAACTGGTATAGTAATATTGAATAACTGCAAGGCAAGTAAATTTTTCTATCTTCGAGGAAAATGATGACAAGCAATTTTCTCGTCAATATATGGATTGAGTTGTCAACAAGTTTGTCGATAAAATTAATTATTTACAATGGAAGTAACGAATTGTTGGTGTTATAATAAATAAATATACAAACAAAACAACATATACAAGTCTACAAAGTAGCACCAATACCGTTAAAATAAATTAAAGTAACAATTTAATGAAGTTTATGCCACGCCGATAAGCAAGCAACAACTAAATATGTCCAGACGGATAAAATGGAAATTCGAGAACTGGAGTTTCCTTTGACTTGTTTCAAAACAGTAATCCTACCAGTCTCATCAGGATACACGAATTGTTCCTTCTCCAAATACCACACAGTGGTGTCTTTGTCCCCCAAATCTTCAATTTTCTTGCCGAAAGCCTTGTCTCTCAAAATATCGTAACCATCGCCAGCGTTTAAAATGTAACTGTTACCCAGTATTCTATAAATCTTCTTCAAATCCAAGTCTTCGTACTGTGGTATTTTACATTGTCCACAACGAACTTTCACATCTTCAACCCTGCTTCCGACTGGTTTTTCCAAATCGTACGTTACTTGTAATCCGGAAACTTGCAGAAATTCACCACGAGACGTTTCACCGTTGCTCCTAGCGCTAGTTTCCAGCATCTTCTTAAGGTCGCTGCCCGTTAAATTGAAAGAAATGTATTGCAAATCAAATGGTTGTGCTGCAATAATGTCTTCGACAGTAATAGAACCAATATCGATGGTGGTTCTAATTGATCCACCGTTCATCACAGCAATTGGAGTGTCTGTCCAATAATAACCTCCGTATTGGAAAGCTTTTTGAGCAACCATAGCGTCGGTGATTAAGTTACCAAAGTTGCATTCCTTCTTCCTGCAAGTGGAGGAATCTAAACTGACTCTAGTACGACCCACTGTCTTTTTAGACAAAGCATCTACAGGTTCTCTGTACGTTTCTAACAAGTCCAGCATGTCTCTTTCTTGAGGAATAAGGTGATTCAACAGTTGAGGTTTCCCTTGGAATTGGATTAACTCTCCTTCATCATCGAATGTAGTATACAGTTTACCCATGTATTTGGTGTAAGCGTACGCTTGCACCACAGGTACTTTCTTCCCGGACTTTTGGATCATCACAGTTGGATATATATCTTCAGGAACCTCGATGTCCGGCTGCTTACCATTCCACAGGAAGGTGTTGGTGTGTCCTCCGATGACCACATCGACTAAAGGTACATTTTTAGCAATGCTTTTGTCGACTTCGAAACCAGAATGTCCCAAAGCGATGATAATTTTAACTCCCTCAGCATCCAAACGCTCGCTTTCCTTCTTGATGCTTTCCACTTCATCTAAGAATTCGATGTATCCAACATCTGAAATAACCCTAGTCTCAGGTGTAATGTATCCAATGACAGCAATCTTATGTCCATTGACATTCAGCACGACTGATTTATTGACTTCGGCGGTGAACAATGGCTCTTTGGAGTAATCGAAATTGGCAGCAACCAAAGGATGCTTGTAATTCCTCAAGAACGGCAGGATCCCCTTGATACCAAAATCGAACTCGTGGTTACCAAACGACTGAAAATAGAAAAAAGAGAAAGAAAATGAAACACGTATCATCATAATAAACAGAAACTCATAAGTATTTCGATATTTCACGCCCGTTAACTTTTACGAACTCTTCACATTTGTTTGTTTGAAATAAAAATACGAAAGATATGCCCGGCAGCTGGAGGAGTCGTTAATTAAAAATAGATGGATTTTTATCGCGCATTCTTCAGAATCAAACGCATCCTTCGGAGAAATAATAATTGGAGAGTAGAGAAGTCACATTGATTATTAGCTATTACAGATAATTAACTCAATAATCCAATAGCGGTAATGCATTATAATAACACTCCAATAGCTATTATTGATTATATAAGAAGATAAGAATATAAGAAGTTCAATCAGTGATACCGCGGGCTATATTGTTATGCACGGCAGGAAGATTTCTTATGATGATGACCTTTCGATAAATAACTATGTGCCAATCATGAAATTTACACTTGTAGAATATATAAATAGCTTAAATATTATTATGGACATTTTGTACAACTGCTCTCATTATTTATTTTGAGTCGCCCAACTGAAAATTATCGCATGTGGAATAATTACAAGTCTAACAAACGATAAGATTACTACTTCATTATTTATATTTTGTTATTGTACGAAAAGTATGGGCTAAGATAAACACTGTTTACAATTCTGAATGTGCCTAATTTTTTTTTAATGTATGTTATATAGATTTCCTATTTCCTTTCGTTTTGTTTACTGCGCATCGTTTATCGAACTTAACATTTAACGAGATGCACGTTCACGAGTATTTCGTGCTGTCTATACTTGTTCTTATTGGTATTGATTCCCATTTGATTCCTACTTCTTATTAAGGTATAATAACATTTCCTTCTTGTTGTTTAGAACAAATACATTTATATCAATAACAAAGATAAACTTTCCTCTTGATAACTTGTACATCAAATTATTCATTTCATTGAGATTGTAATAAAATTTATAGCTTTGTCTTGATTAAAGCGGAATTTTTATAGCTTCGTTGCATTAGCAGAATTCAAGTAATTGCTGATTCTGCTTTATACACATATTTTTAAACAGTTCTTTGATTCAAAAAACAGATGTGCGAGGCAATTAATTATAGAAAAAAATAACACTTTCATCAAGGCTGCATTAAATCAGAATTGGTAGTATTTAAGATAATAGCGATTTAAGCGTAGCGGAGAAAACATAAATCTCTACTTTCTACTTTTGCAAATATCAAATGCTACAAGAAGAGATACATTGCGTGGTCAATGAAGTAATAGGTTACGCAAGTTATGTTTTGATGCTGCTTTGGTATATTGATAAGAGTGTCTTCTCGGTCGAAGGAATTGTGACAAATTCATTCATGGTCACAGTTACGAGATGAAAGGAATTAATGGTGGAATCAGTATTGCGGAATGTAGTAAACATATTATTAACATATATTGAAAAAGTATAATTTGTAGGTGGAAAATTGAAAACATCGCTCGAAGCTGTCATAAGTTGAGCGTATATAATTTGTTCAATGAAACTTTGTTGTTTGTTTCTTCTTTGTTATTTCAAATCACCTAGAGAACATGTCAATGTTAGAAAAAAAAAATACAAGGATTCAATGCTATTAAGATTTCTATGAAATTTATTAATAAATTTATGAAATAGATGGAGTAAAATCAATAACAAAATTGGATCATTTAATATTTATTATTATGAACATAAAATTTAATATGAGAACATTTTTTGAAAGAGAATTTTTTAAACTTTAATATAAAAAAAATGAATCCAAATAATTTCTTAGTTCAATATTCGACAAATATTTTGACTATTGAATTTTGCATCAGTGAAAGAAAATTGTTGGTATGTAATTAAAATGATGTCGTAACGTAAATAAACATAGAAATGATAGAAAAAAAACTTGTCACATAATCAAAGTTACAGTAATTATTTTATAATTTCTATTGTATTAAGTTAATTTTGAATTTCCCACGCTAAGATTTAATGAATCAAAACATGTACGTTCTATAGGTAATGAAATATAATTGTAATTAGTTGAAAACTACAATTTATTATATGTAGTCGTATTTACTTTTAATAAAAAATGTTTATTTGATTCATAATAATGTATACTTAAATTATTTCCTTTTTATCAAAAAAAAACAAAGTTTAAATATTTACATACATTTTTATCAGTATTTTATAATAATTTTAATAATTCTTATCGAAAAACAACTGCGCGTTTTGTTTTTGCATTCTTCGTACCTTAAATTTGTTTTCTTGTTTTTACTTAGCAGTTTAAATTCTTCCTCTTGTTTTCTCCATTCTCGAACCAATTTCTCTGGTGCACCAAAATGTCCTACTGCTGCTGTTATTCCACATTGTTTTGCATAATTTAACACATTTTGTTTATACCGCACGTTATATGAAAGTGTTTTTTGTTATATTTTCAAATTTAGAGACGATTTATTAAAAAAAATATTTTAATCTAATCTTCTGACCATAAGACGCACCAAAAATTTGAGTCCATTTTTCTATGTTAAAAAGTGCGTATTATAATCCAAAAAATAGGTAATTCTTAGATCATAGTTCTTAAATTAAAGATTTGCAACTTGCTTTCTTACTTTTATTGGTTATTTGTCAATAATATACAGAGCGATGACGCAAATTATAATTACTTTTACGCTTTTGTTCTGTTATTAGTTTAGTTTTGTTTTGTTTCAAAATTTGAGTCCATTTTTCAATGTAAAAAGGTGCGTCTTATAGTCCGCAAAGTAGCTAATTAGATCATTGTTCTTAAATTAAAGATTTGCGACTTGCTTTCTTACTTTTAGACTTATTGGTCATTAGTCAATAATATACAGAGCGATGATGCAAATTCTACTTACTTTTACGTTTTTGTTTTGTTTCAAAATTTGAGTCCATTTCTCTATGTTAAAAAGTGCGTCTTATAGTCTAAAAAATAGGTAATTCTTAGATCATAGTTCTTAAATTAAAGATTTGTGACTTGCTTTCTTACTTTTAGACTGGTCATTTGTCAATAATATACAGAGCGATGACGCAAATTCTACTTACTTTTACGTTTTTGATCTGTTTTTAGCTTAGTTTTGTTTCATTTAGCATTGCAATGTGTATTCTTTGGTTTACTCATAACGAAATGCTCTCGGTCAGTGTAATTAATGTCACATGCAGCATGCATTTTATTACACACAGATTGTGTTCGCGGTCAAACAGATCTTTTTTTGTTGAAAAGTGAATTGCATCACAATATTTATGCAATTCGCGTCACGGTTTGTTCTAATACAATACATTAACAAAATATTAAATATTTATACTTTACACAAAGATTGTTATCTAACAATTATTCAACATTTACGTTTACTAGTGTATTTTCTATTTTTGTCTTTTATGATTGTACTTATTAGTATAACAAATACAACAATTATATTGCTACTGCAATTGCAATTAATATTTATCTTTGTGATAATTTATAGAAACGAAACACTTAAAAAAATATAGTAATTAATTTTTCGAAAAAATTTACGCGTACATAAAATAATTAATAATTAAAATAACAAAAACTGTTTTAGTTTTTATTTTTGTAAGTTTAGTTAACTAAAAAATGTAGAATATTTATTCTATTATTATGTAATTTCCATGATTTTTGTACTAATTTAAATATGTACACATTAAAGATATCGGTATGAAAATGTTCAATTAACAATACAGGTATTCCACGACTTACGAACTCCCGGACTTACGAACAAAATGTTAATAGCTCTAACTTATTACAAGGAGATTTGTAGTGATACAAAAATTAACTGTCCAAACAAAAATTGATAATTTCAATAATAAAATATAATATTTTTGGAAGATCTACTATCTCTTTTGTTGCATTTGTTTCTTTTCTCGTTTTTTTATTATATAATTGTGATGTCTACTTTGAAAGTAAGTAAGTATTTTGTTTATTTTAATCTATTTTTGCAAATTTATGCAGTCAATAATACGAAATTTTTAAAATTCCCCAGACTTACGAACAACCCTTTGGAATGGAACTAGTTCGTAAGTTGGAGGATACTTGTATTTACTAATAAAATGTACTTATTAGTATAATAATTGTAACTATTATATTGTTAGAACAATTACCATCAATATTAATCTTTGTCATAATTAATAGAAACGAAACTCTTTAAAAAAAAAGTACAGTAATTATTTTTTTCAAAAATTATAATTTATTATCAAAAAGCTTTAATTTAATTGTATCCTTGCACACAATATTTACGTAAAGGAAAGTTTTTAACTGCTTATATTATTGTAATTCACCTTCGTTGTTATTGCGTGCAAATAAAATATTAAAATATGTCAAATATTTCACAACACATTTGCAAAAGAAAAACAATTATAACAAATTCAAAATTAACTTATTTCCAAGAAAAAATATAGCAAACCGCACTATGTGAGGTATGCTGTTTTTGTAATTAAAACAGTATACCTCGCATAGTGCGGTTTCTATTCAGTCCAGATTTAAGATATTTCGATTTGAAATTAAAAGAAAATTGACTAAATAAAATCTAAGAAATGCGTTTTTAAATTACTCGATTAGTCCGGTTTTTTATAAGTATGAATTTATTGAATAATTCAATTTGTTTAATCTTAAAAAATGCATCAATTATATGAAAATTGTCATTAGGTAATTCAGTTCAATTAATAAATCATAAAATAAGTATCGATTATTGTTAAATTATAATTATACATGATTGTTGGGAAACTCTGGTCTTATTTAACTTATATAGTTCCAAATTAGTATTAAACCATAACTTATATAAGCAGTCGTGGCCGAGCGGTTAAGGCGTCTGACTAGAAATCAGATTCCCTCTGGGAGCGTAGGTTCGAATCCTACCGACTGCGATGTAACATTTTTTTACATAAGCATTTCTATTTAGATTAATTTAATTACGTGATGTTCTTTATATTTACATACTAAATGAAGATTAAATAATTACGTTGCAGTAATTAAAATTATATACTTTTTTATCATTGTTTAAATAATATTTGAAGGCAGTCGTTTGTAAATTACGTAAATATACCACGAGATAAATGCTGTGTGCAAAATAGTTTGTTATATATTGTGATATTTTTTTTAATAAAATCCTAAAATTTTGCAAATTTATCACTTCAATTAGCGCCAATAAAATGTTGTGTCATGAGGATAATAAGTTGTATATTAGATAATTCGTTCTAGTGTTCATTGAAATGATAAGACTCAATTGAAACCACTTGGAAATGATTCGGGAAGTAAAACAATCTCAATGAAAGATGTGCACAAGTTAAGTAATAGTTCAAATTCTTCATTGTACACAGTTCAAGTAAAGAAAAATGTTATGTAATTATATAAATAAAAGATGAATACAAATTACTTATCAAATAATAATAATTATTACAGTAAAACCTGATTTTGTGCGGTAGATAAGGACCGCATAAAAAAAATATTCGAAATTTTCATAAATTTTTGCATATAGCAAATAACTTTGTATAATATATTACAGAAACTTTTTTTATGCGGTGGATAGGGACCGCATAAAAAAAATCTCACAAAAAAAATTCAAAATTTTCATAAATTCTTACATATAACAAAGATCTTTGTATAATATATTACAGAAACTTTGTTTGTGCGGTGGATTGGGACCGCATAAAAAAAATCGCACAAAAAAATATTCGTAATTTTTATAAATTCTTGCATATAACAAATAACTTTGAATAATACATTACTGAAACTTTGTTTATGCGATGGATAGGGACCGCATAAAAAAAATCGTACTTAGAAAATACGTCAAAGATTTACGAAATACATGAGAAAGTGCATCCAAACTAAATAAGTAATTAAATTACATATGGAAACATTTTAAAAACAATTAATTTCTCATTGCACATGTGGAGAAATTTTCAAAATGCACATACATAAATCACTGTTACTCGTGTTCACTGCAAAACGCGCATCTTCTTGTGATGAATTGGTTCAAAATCGACTAACAAAATCGTTTGAGCAGGTTTTACTTATATTCCGCATAAAAAAAAATCGCATAAAAAAAGCACCGCAGAAAAACAGGTTCTACTGTACTGGATTTGAAATTCAATTAATAAAATATCTTATACTATTTGTTTCAATTTTTGTTAGTATAAGTAAAATAAAATAAAAATTAAAATAAATTGTATTATTATTTAATTTCTATGATTTTTGTAATATTTAAAAAAAAAAATAACACATTTGAGATATCAGAAAGAAAACAGTTTCAATGATGACAAACATTTCATTGAAAATTTTCATCTAATGAAGAAATTTTACTAAAAAAACAAACATAATTGAATATTTTATAATATTTTTATCTAATTTTTCATCTAACGAAGAAATTTTACTAAGAAACAAACATAACTGAATATTTTATAACAATATTGAACCTAGCTTTACAAAAATGGTAATTAAAACTAAATTTTTAATATATTGATGGAAATGATTAAAAATGACAATTAAAAATAAGAAAAACAAGTAAATTGTGCAAATCTCATTCTGGTTAATAATTATTGTTACTTTTTTAAATCATTAATGTTTTACAATCGTTTATAGAGATTAATCATACCAATTAAATATAATTTATGATGAATTTGAACGTCAGAAAAGTTATTTTTAGTCTTATCATTATTTTTAAATTTAATTTTTAATAATTAACCTTAACTTTACTTTATAACATACGACTAATTATAATTAAAAATGTGTATTTTATACTATATAATTTAATAATTTTAAGTTAAAATCAAAAATTTATTTTAATTGAATCATGTAAAATGTTACACTTGTATATATTTATAATTGAAAAGTTACACAATAATTACAGTATAATTTCGAGCAAAAAACATTGATTAAGTTATTACATTTGTTGATATTTAGTATGTTTCTTGTTGTGTGAAATATTTTTGAGACCTTGATCTAATTTAATTTTTTTGATTAATTGAAATTAATATCAATGATTTTAATTTGGTTACTTATCAGTGAAGAGTTCATAGTTCTAAATGTTAAGATTGTGATATTTACCATTGCATCAGGAGCTAGGGTGTTTAGGAAATCGACGGCAATCTTCCACTTGTGAACGCTGAACCAAGGTGTACCAGTATAGGTATCACCAGCATTAAGGTAGAGCACCGAAGGGCCAGTTCCATCCTTTGCAGCATTCCTCGCCTCCCTCACAACGTGTGCGACTCTAGCGAAGCCACCGAAACAGTAGCTTTTGTTCTTGCATTTACCCGAAGTCTGCGAAGTTTCCTCGAACCTCGCATGCATATCATTATTATGCATCAAAAGTAAATTGAATTCTGCATATACAGATCCGATGATCAATAGAAGCACCAAAGTCTTCATTGTTTTTCAAAACAAAATTGAAGTAAACAAACAAAATATTGTTGTTTTACTACAAAATCGCACGGAGACTATTCACGACCGTCCCTCCTCGACGCTATAGGAAGACTGAGCGCAACTAGTAGATACCTAGCTCTTTTATATAACCAAAGCTTCAATCGAATCTCACGCTTAGGTAGATCACTGATAAAGAAGATACCACCCTTCGCCCCACTCAAAACTCAAAAACACGTTTTCACGTCCCATTTTCAAAGAAGCTCCAAATTCCCAAATACAAACAAATTATATTTTTTACAGCGAATTTTAAATGCAACCGAAAAACAAGCGCAATTCAATTTAATTATATAATAAGCATAATTTCAAAGAGTTGACAATTCGCGAATTTTATTAATAGACCGGTGCGTTTTGTGCCAACTGAAAAATGTACACAGTTGTTCCCATAATTTCCCAAAACAAATGTTATGCAAAAAATTTTTGATTCGCTTCATGAACTCGTAAAGATTGAATGTAATCTGCAATGTTAATGACCATATTTACGGTTTACGAACGTGCTATTGTTTAGCATTTACGAACATCGAACGTGCTAAGTGTTTGACATAATATTTTTTTTACTTTATGCTTGCGCAGTTTTAAAAATAACCAATTTTACGTGCAATTGCAATTTTATGCTAATTAATTTTTTTTGCAAATCATGCTATTTTTTAATTAATATCTATTCAGGTTCACAATAGTCCGGTTTCATAATTTAATTATAAAAAATAAGAAAGAATTTTGTGCTGTCAATTTTTATTTAGTTTCTCGATTAGTCCGGTTTCAAACAGTCCGGAGCCGAAGATTTGTTTAAATAAATAAATTTAAGTTAAAATTGAATATCTCCTTGACAACAAAGACTGGCAAGTTTTTTTAAATATTAGATCTACCTTTAAGATTTGATTATCGTCTCTATGGATATTATGTAACTAAGGAAAGTTTCATTTATGCACTTTTCTACAATTTACATTATAATTTACTATATATATAAATAGAAGAGTTTATTAACAGATACAGGAAAATAAATTCAAAAAACAATATTTAGAAAAAAAAATGTTTTCCTATTAATTGTGTGATCTGGATTTTTGGAACTTCTGAGGTATTTGTGGTCAAAGGTGTTTTATAGAAGTAGAGTGTTTTATTGCAGGATAATTTACATCCTTTGACTCGTAATACCTTAGGAGTCAAAGGATGTAAAAGGATACATTTCCAGGAGTTATATTATAATAGTAAAAATACTTATTTTCAAAGGATTATACATTAATATAAGTAATTACAGATAAATTGTAACAAAATTGAAAACTGTACCAAAGAAACCAAATATTTCACCAAATAAAATTAATAGTTACTACAATTTATTAACAAGTTTCCACTTTTTTTAAATACATTTTATGACCGTGGATTATGCAGATTTATTTCGGTCTATATAATTTTGTGTACACTGTTATTAGCATATTCTATTTTTAACCTTGTGAAATCAAACAATTTATTTTATTATTATATTTAAACAAATTACTTTTACTTTTCTGTAAATTTTTTTAATACAGTACATTTAGTATATGAACCAAAAAAAATACTGCAAGGGTTGATTTAAAATAAGATTTTAAAGTATATTTAGTGATTGAAACGTTGAGTTGTTAAGCCGTTATCAGGTATATTGATAATACATCATGTTTGCTTTAATACTCCAATTTCTTACGTTATTCGAAAAAAAAAATAGTTTTTTTTTTGTATTATTAAGTAAAACTTACTTCTGCTTTAATTTCATTAAAAATAGAGATACAAAAATAATAAGAGTTTCAATATAAACATTATTACTTTACACAGCATAAAATCGATTTCAAAGTGCAAGTATACAAAAATTGCGTGGAAATACTGCAAATAAAATACGTTAACCTTGTAAAATCAATATTTGCAGAACACTTTTATACAGTAAATATCATGAATACAACATTGCAAGATGCACCACATTCCAAACATGCGATAATAAAGTGTAACCGTAATCTATATTAGTAGAATTATCATTTATTAGTGGGTTTGTCGTCTAAGTGATCATCGACCATAAGGTTTGTTAGGTCATCTACATCAGTGTTTCTCAAAAATTTTGGTTCGCGAACCCTTTGGCTGTCTGTCATCAATTTTTCTACGATCCCCACTTTGTAAATCACTGATTTACACCTATGTTTCACAATCTTTCTACAACGCCACCCAACATACTTGTTTGTAGCTGTACTGCAAGCCAATTGCTAATAATAACATGATTTTTGAATCTGGAACACAAGGTGACAGCTGACAAAACTTTTACATTGAGAAACGCTGATCTACAAAATATGCGACTTGTCAAAAGTAACTTGTCCATTATGTTTAATTGACAACTTTCAAAAGTACTTGTAAAACATAATTGATATAAAAGGTACTTTCATTTATTTGATTCATTTGCAAGGTGACAGCTGACATTTAAAACTTTTACATTGAGAAACGCTGATTTACAAAATATGCGACTTGTCAAAAGTAAATTGTCCATTATGTTTAATTGACAACTTTGAAAAGTACTTGTAAAACAAAATTGATATAAAAGGTACTTTGATTTGCTTGATTAATTTGCAAGGTGACAGTTGACATTTAAAATTTTACATTGAGAAACGCTAATCTACAAAATATGCGACTTGTCAAAAGTAAATTGTCCACTATGTTTAATTGACAACTTTCAAAAGTACTTTTAAAACATAATTGATATAAAAGGTACTTTCATTTGTTTGATTAATTTGCAAGGTGACAGCTGACATTTAAATCTTTTACATTGAGAAACGCTGATGTACAAAATATGCGACTTGTCAAAAGTAACTTGTCCATTATGTTTAATGGACAACTTTCAAAAGTACTTGTAAAACATAATTGATATGAAAGATGTTTTCATTTGTTTGATTAATTTGCAAGGTGACAGCTGACATTTAAAACTTTTACATTCAGAAACGCTGATCTACAAAATATGCGACTTGTCAAAAGTAAATTGTCCATTATGTTTAATTGACAACTTTCAAAAGTACTTATAAAACATAATTGATATAAAAGGTACTTTCATTTGTTAGATTAATTTGCAAGGTGACAACTGACATTTAAAACTTTTACATTGAGAAACGCTGATTTACAAAATATGCGACTTGTCAAAAGTAAATTGTCCATTATGTTTAATTGACAACTTTCAAAAGTACTTGTGAAACATAATTGATATGAAAGGTATTTTCATTTGTTTGATTAATTTGCAAGGTGACAGCTAACATTTAAAACATTTACATTGAGAAACGCTGATTTACAAAATATGCGACTTGTCAAAAGTAAATTGTCCATTATGTTTAATTGACAACTTTCAAAAGTACTTGTAAAACATAATTTATATAAAATGAAATTTCAATTTTTGATTAATTTGCAATTTTTATACACAGTTTTTGAACTTTATATTTATGTAAGCAAGTAGTTTCTATATTATATTCATTAATAAATAATTTATAAATTAATCAAGTAAACAATAAAATTATAAATCTTTCTTTACAATTTATTTGTTAAGACACATTTATGATACTCCCACTTTCATAAAACCCAACTCCTTTTAACTGAACACGGTTTTTCTTTATTCGGTAACACCATTAAGCGTGGGATGGTTTTAAAGTTTAGGTTATTATAATCCACAAAAAAAAGAAGTAAAATAACTGATCTATTTAATTTACTATAAATCAATATCAAATTTATTTTTTCTTTCTTCTTTCCTCTTGTGTATTTCATGTAAATAGTAAAAAAAAACAGGTAAATGAATGAAATTTATGAATGTTAATGTAAATATTATAACAATAATTTTAATAATGTAATCTAATTACCACGCGGATATACAACTCTATTTCAAGAGATACCGAACCATGTCATGTGAATAGTTAAAAGAGGAAGGTGTTGACCATACATAATTCAAACGCATAGATTTGAATGTAATTATTTTTAGTTTAAGATTATTACTTGTATTATGATCGAATCGATGATGCATAGAATTTCCAATAAGCACAAAAAAACACATACAGACTATGTAGAATTAGCAAATAGTTAATGAATTTTTAATTGAAAACCGCCATCGATCTGTCTGAATTAATGAATACATAGTGGTAAAGGTGCGGTAAATCGACCACTGTGCATATTAAAACCATAAACAAAGAGAAGAGTTGTTTACTGAAAAATTTCCTTGAAGCTGAATTATATTCTTCTCATCTCTAAGATCTATTCTTTTCCTGTTTTTATATTACGAGAGATCGTAAATTTCGGCAGCCGTTGGATAGCATTTAAAATTAGTGAAACTGTTATACATTTTTTTTTTGTTATTTAAACTTAACGATTCCGAAATCGTTTACATAAAACACGTCGGGGGCATTGGTGTAAATATAGATTTTATTAAATATGACTGATTGATGTGTATCCTCACTTGAAATTATCGTTGAAACACTTCATGGCTCAAACAGCGCTTGAGTGGTTTCTTATAATTGAAAACATTTCAAAATCTGTGCTATTTGCATCAGTGTTTTTAAATAAATCTTGTATTTCATTGATACAACTTTGTACTAAAATTACATAAAACAATACAACTTTTAGTTGTTATTTAAAATAGTGAAAATTTTCTAAAATTATTATTTTATTATAAATTGTAATCACAAACATCATTTTAATTACAACAAATATATATAAAATTTGTATGAAAAACATCTCTTATAGGCAACCAACATTAATTGGGAGTAAATATTAAAATGGTTTCTGTACAATAGAGGTCTATATCGCAAGCCCGACATTTGTCGAGATTTTGATATAGTCGGGATTTCGATACAGTCGGGATTTCGAACATCTGGATTTCGATACAGTCGGTATTTTAAACGTCGGGATTTCAATAGACGATCTTCCGGTTGTCGGGCTTGCGAATGCCACCAGTACAATAGAGTACAAACTTACTGAGTTATTGATAATTTATTTAATAAAATATAATATTTTTGGAAGATGTACTATCTGTTTTGTAATTGTGATATAGACATCACAATTGAAAAGTATTTGTAAGTATTTTGTTTATTTTAATTTATTTTTTCAAATTTATGCCATGATAAAGTGTGGTAAGATGAGAATATTTTGAAATTTTTAAAATTCCTCCGACTTACGAACAACCCTTTATAACGTAACTAGTCGTATTATATTTTAAAGTTCTACGAAATATCAATTTATAACTATTTGCAAAAATTATCAATTAAATTTTATCAGGAATAAATGACAGTTAAAATTGAATTAACAAAGTAATAATCTAATAAAACTAAAAACTAATCAACTTTGTATAAGTCAAATATATTGTTATATAAATAATATTTACTATTAGTATTACTAGTATCAGTACACTATGAAAATGTATGAATGAAAATAGGTATTGCCATGAATTAAAGAAATTTATAAAAGAATCTTTGGAAAATTACGTAACTGTAGAATAATTATATGCAACTTTCTATATTGATTTAGTAACTTATATTGTTTTGAAAATGACTTGGTAGCACATTTATTTGGAATTCTTAACGTTTAAAATCATACGAATAGTTAAGAAAGGTTTGTCGTGAATGATGGGTGAGTATTAATTTATTATAAATTGAAATTGTAATATAATTTGAATGAAAAATTAAATATAAAGTGAAATTATATAAACTTCGATAATAATTTATTTCATGTCAATAAAGTACGAACAATAATATAACCAATATGCATATTTTATATAATGTATATATATATATATAATTTAACAAAGAAAACGAAACGAAACAAGACATTCAGAGTGAATATCGTTCAGAAATAAGTATGCAATAACAAAAATACATGGTCCTTCGATTTATGAAGGAATAAAATGGTTTCACAGCAATTCGTGATGTCAAAATATGTTGTTTCTTTAGACTAACACAACGGACAAGTAAAAAAATATCTATTTTAACATGTAATACTTGCGCACTAATCTAAGTAATTTCAAGATTGTGCAGACTTTGGCATCAGCCTTTTGTTTGCCAGAATACTGTAGCATTGTTTGATGCATTCTTGTATGTCGGCTAAATTCTTGCATGGCTTCAACTTCTCCAAGATGGCGGCTTTTATTAACAATCCTTTCAATACGGATCTCGCCGTGCTAACCATAGCTTGTTGCAAATCATTTACGATGTCGCACGAGAGATCGAATTCAAAGTTTTTATCTGGTAAATACTTATAAAGAGGCCAACAGTCTGTGCAAGCTTCGCATGAACAATCGAAGAAGTACTGCAGTTTCAAAGATTTTTGCCTCTGGGACCTTTCCATAACTGCATAATGATACCTAGAAAGTATAGGTTGATGACAAGTTGTTGTTTAATAATTAATTAAACTTACCCGTAATTATCAAACAATTGTTGACCCTCTTTGATGGGGCTCAGCGCTCTTAAAACTATAGATTTCCCATAGCAATGTCTGACGACGTTAGGAGAGCACGAATGATTGATCATGCTCAAAAAGCTATATGCACCAGCACCGATTTCCAAGCTTTCTGCAGTGGAATCCTCGGTGCGTCTGACGAGTTCAGATATCTCGTGAAAGTTAGATGGTCCTGTCTGCATGTGCAGAAGCAGCAGTTCTTTAAACATTTTCACATCGCTTTCTTCCCCAAAATCCTGAAAGAATGTCGAGTAAGAATTGAAAATATCGAATATAACAGCGGCTTGGATAGCTCTGTCAAACAAATCGGCGTTTGTGCGGTGTTCCGTATTCGCACAAAGCCCGTGAATTTCCTCGTATCGCGCCGATTCATAAACACTATTGCTTTTACCGTAGTGCGGGATTTTTTTGTAATCTTTCTTTGCAAGTATAGTGATCCTAAGTGCGAGCAAGTTAAGTTTGCTAACATTCAGATTCAACAAGACGCTTATAACCGGACACTCGTATTGGTGGTAGGAATATTGCGCGGAATCCGAGCAGTTTACTGAGCAATAAATGGCGTAAGAACATTTTTGACAAGGAATGCTGTTGAGCACTACTTTAAGACAATGATGGCAATGTGTGATAGAAGCTTCTGGTACAACAATAGCCGCGTAAGGTGTATCTATAGCGATGACATCTCCAATTTGGATATCTTTGGTTGCTACGACATGTCGGCCGCATTCTGCATTGGTTGTAATAGCAATGCAATTCGAGGCGCAAGCAATTGTTGGGTTAACGTCGTGTATAAATTCTGGTAACTCTTCGTAATACTTTGGTTCTTCATGACTGCAGCATTGTGTCAGTTCCTTTTCTGATCGCTGCCTTCTCCGTAGCAATTTGCTGTAGTTCGCTTCCGGGTAATTTGAAGTAAAGGCCTTGTCGATATCCTATAATAAATATGTTTATTTTTTTATTAATTTCTATTTTTTTTTGTAGGAATACCTACTTCTAAGCATTCCCTGAACATTTTCTTTTCAAATAAGACTGCCGAACGATTGGCGTAAGCTAATCCAAGTATCTCGCTTCCGGTCTCCGCGTATGTTATACTTTTTGTGTACAATTCTAATGCATAGTCGTACTGCTTGTCCTTAAACATGATGTTACCCTGTTCTCTGAATTGTATGCTCATCTCATTATTTTTTAGAGAAGTAGTATCATAGACGGGTAAGTTTCCAAACGAGTTCAAAAGATTTGTGGCAAAATCAACGCGCTCCCAGTTCGTCTGCAGTTCCATGAAGGTCTGGGATACTTGCGTTAAATTACTATACGCCGTCAGATGTCGGCAGAGGTTGTGGAACAGCTCGTTGATAGTGAGTTTCTCACTCCGCATGTTGTACATTATTATCGATTCTCCTCACTTTTCTCACAACCGTCGATAAAATGTCGCGTTACGTTACTCCGTTCCTGGTGGTAAACCTCGGTGCCGAAATGGTATTTGTCGTTGCACAGAGACTTCAGGCGCAGAACATACCGCACGACCGTTCTGCATTCGGTATGCGAACTATATTTGTAAGGACTGATGTATATAAAAAAAGACCTAGTGCATCTGGGCCGGCTGGCGGGAATTTTGAAAGTCATGCGCACACAATCTTCACCAGCAACCACCAAAATAAGACCAGCAAATTTTCAGCACAGCACCACAATCTTTGAATAAATATTTGCAATTCGAGCACCAAACCGAACCTTTACATTCGTAATGCAATCGATGTTAAAGCACGCAATTAATCAATACATTTGCTTGATTGTTCTAGTCCTGGACGAGATTATCTCCGTTCTAGTTTCGCAACAATTGATGTCTGAGATAACGAAACCGCAGGCTGCCTACAGCCACGAATCGGTTAAGAATTTAATCGAAGACGTAACGCAATCCTCAGCCATGCGTTTAGATCCGAAGAGCATGGATAAACTCTGGGACCTCATCACCATGGTTTTCAAGTGGCAGGTCTTTCTCACATTCGACCTACTCAAGATCACCTCAAGACACCTCTACGAAATCGAGAATTACGTTACCTCGGAAGAGACGCATCTACAGTTGCACAAAGTGCAGAACCTTTTTGATAACTTTAACAAAATCCTTACAGATACTGAGAAGGTTGAGCTCAGGGAGCACGTCTTCGTGTGGCTGAGCAACTTCAACGTTCGCGTTTCTTTACTATTAAGATTAGGTTTACAGGATCAGGATGGTAATTTCATTATAACAAATCTGAACCCTTTCGCCAAAGATATGCTGAAGAATGTGGGCGAAAACATATACAGCGTAACGCAAAATGGAAAAGTCAGCTTCGCTTTGCCGGAAAAGCAGGAAGTTAAAAACGACAACGAAGTGTTTGAGCTGAAGTTGCTCGTTGATCAAATTAATGGTGGTCGGAAGGAAATTAATAGGAACAACCTAAGACTCACTATAAACCAGAAGAATGAACCTGAAGCCGGAGGTAGCAACTTCAATTGCATCAACGTAGAAGCTACGAATTCTCATAACCTTGAAAACCTCTTCGATGATTTGAATTTAAACGAAGACAATGCTTCAAATTTCCACGAAGACTTGATCACTATGATCGGCGAAGAGGAATAGCTTTTATGCAAATCTTTGTAAGTGCCTTCAGATAAGTATTAATTTATTTTAATTCAATTGATTATAAGACTGAATTTAACAAAAAAATACAATTGAAGCGAAAACAATATAAATTCAAAGTGCAGTCATTTACAAAATTATCTCAAACTAAACAAATTTGTTTGACATATTTCAATCAAAATTTAGTAATTATATAAAAATTAATTTTAAGTTTTTATTAATATCACTAATTACACTATAATTTGCATTAATTAGGTTTAAGAATTGCAAAGGAAATACAATATTTAAAAACTGTACTATTTTGATTTCGATAGATCAGCCATTTTGTTAGAATTGTAGCACCTAGTAACGTCTAATTTATAAACCGAATTTAACTTATATTATAATATATTCAGTAGAAAATAGGAACAATTGTCTAGTCATAAATGTATTGAAATAAAGAATATTTCAGCACTTACTTTCGTGTCTTTTTTTATTAAATAATATATTAGTGAAAATTTATTACTAAAGAATTACAATTTTGCAGTTTAAAAATGAAAAGGACAAAACAAAATGTGTGTTGCACCATCTGTAGTTGAGTAGTCATAACTATATGGGACACCTAGTGACGATGATTACAAGATGTTTCAATTGTTTTGCAAGCATAACCAAGAACACAATCTTTCAAGTTCAAAGTTTAGTTAACCTACAAAAAAATAAGAGGGGCGAAATTTAGATCCTGACATGGCTCTAAATATATCCGGAAAGTTGTTCGGTGGTGTACTGTGCAATGGCAATACATTCGTGCGTTTTCAAAGTGTTTTGGCGACGAAATTGATGTATGCTGAGTACGGAGATCCGTGTAAGGTCGTTCAGAAATGCGAAGAACCTCTACCCGACATCAAAGGCTCTGATGTATTAATCCGCATGCTTGCCGCCCCAGTAAATCCTGCTGATATAAACACCATCCAGGGTAAATATCCGTCGCGCCCTGAATTACCGGCAGTTCCTGGCAACGAAGGGGTTGGTGAGGTCGTCCAAGTAGGAAGCGACGTTACCGACTTCTGTCCCGGTGATCGTATAGTCCCCCTAGCAAACTTGCTGGGAACTTGGAGGAGTCATGCAGTTTTGAATTCCCGTCAACTTTTGAAGATCCCCAAAGAGTTGGGCATTGTTGAAGCATCAACTTTAACTGTGAACCCATGTACGGCCTACAGAATGCTCAAGGACTTCGCCGATCTGAAGGAAGGCGATGTCGTCATTCAGAACGGAGCGAATTCCGCGTGCGGTCAGAACGTAATCCAATTGGCGAATATTTGGGGTTTGAAGACGGTCAACATCGTCAGAGACAGGCCCAAGATTGGCGAGTTGAGAAATTTCCTGAAGCAGCTTGGAGCTACCGAAGTATTAACCGAAGAAGAGCTTAGGAAAACCGATTTGTTCAAGAGCAAAAAGCTACCTAAACCTAAGCTTGGATTGAACTGCGTCGGTGGTAAGAACGCTCTGGAAGTAATGAGGCATCTGAACCATGGCAGTTCGATCGTGACGTACGGAGGCATGTCCAGAGAACCTGTGACAGTTCCAACCTCGGCTCTGATCTTCAAAGACATCAAGGTCAGAGGATTCTGGATGACCGAATGGACTAAACGGAATGTCGACAGTCCTCAGCGCAAGGAGATGTTCGAGGAGCTGATTAAGTACATGTGCGAGAAGAAGCTGCACGGACCTGCCTACAAGATGGTAGAGTTCCAGAACTTCAGGGAGGCTCTGATGAACACGATGACGATCAAGGGTATGATCGGACTCAAGTACATCCTGGACTTCGAGAAATGCTGAACGCTGCTGCCTGCACTTATCGAAGATGAATCTGTAACAAATGTATTTTGTAATTTATATGGAAAACTGAAAAATAAAAATCAATAACACAATCTTAATTACGGCCGCGCGGAGTTTTCAGTTATTAATTGCCGCGCTGATTTATGAACTGCAGTATTTAAACAATGGGATAATTAACAACTTCATACGGAGAAACGCAATCGCCAAGGCCACCCCATAAATAACCCGATATCTTTGTGCATATAAACTGCATTCTTTCTCGGCCGATCTCGGTGGAAGGAAAATGGGTATCCCTCCATCTCTCGGCTTCGCTCTTTCTATCTCATTGACCACCGTCGCCTTCCTGCCATCGCGAAGATCTAGAGAAGCACAGATATAAAGATGAAAAGAGGGAAAGAGTGTTACGCATATACGTGAAAGAGCGAGGGAGAGAGAGAGACAGAGCAAGAGAGCGAAATTAAATTTCGTAAAATTACGATCGCTTACTCGTAAATTAATTCCTCGCCGCGTTTTTTACAGGCCGGGTTAAATATGTATATATGAATATTTTTATTCTCTCGCACCCCGTAATTATAAATAATTCCAATTTATTCACCTGTTCCTCTCTAACAGCAGCAGCAAACCTATTACAAAATCTATCAGAGATTAACATCGGAATGGATTTTCGATGAGGTCTTTACGCTGCACGTAGGTGCTGTGGCCGTGCTTCTGCTTCTGAGAGCGAGATGAGGATCTGGAGGAGAGGAGACTCGTTCTTGCCCCAGGGGCCTACACATACACATATTAACAACAAACTAGGCTACAGAAGCATTTCTTGCTCTGATTTTTTTCTTCGTTCGTTCATTCGTTGTTGCCGCTGCCGTTGACTTCGTCTTCTTCAAACTCAAATAAATAACGAACACAAAATAATGATAATGCGAAAGACGGACTCGTTAACTTAATCATTTCGTAATAAACGTGAAACACAATTTTGCCTCGCCGAGAATAACATGTTTATGTAAAGAATTTAATACACCTATGGATATTTTGAAAGTAGACCACTGCATCTCGCACTAAATATATAAAAAAAAATATGACGTGTGTTGCAATCAAATTGAATTATTGATACACTCATTCAGTTTCTTCTACTTCTGATAAATATGCACTTTTTTCTTCTATCTGTCGCGAGGTTTACGCTTTCGCAATTTCAGTTCAATCAACTTCCAGTTTACTTTTAATCTAATCACATTCACATCCCATATCGCCTTTCCTAGATATTTATTTTTCTCGTAATTGATTACTTACTAAAGGTTCAATGATTCTTAATATTTAATGCGTAACCATTTTACAAATACAGCAAATTTATTGGAACAGTAATAATTTTAATATTTGACAACTATTAAATAGAAAGATCATTTTTATTCTAAATGGTTAACTTGTCTTAATTAGTAGACTATAAGTTTACCTCAACAATATCTACTGAAAATAGAAAAGTATCATTGAACCATTAGTAATTGGTACACCTTAGTGTCATTTGTGTCTCAAGTCACGCATAGTGTGGATACAGCTTTATATGAAAAACAATGCAAATAAACTATCACCTCCATAGATAACTTACTGTGTCACTGAGTCACAGAATCTTTAGAACTTGTTAAAGTAGGTAAGGCATACATCAAGGTAAAGCAGTTTAATTAAATAAACGCTACATCCTCATTTGTTTATATTCATGGATAATGATTAAGACTTCAGCAATGTAATTAAAATATTTACACCGCAGCAATAAAGAAAAAATTGCTAGCGATTAGTCATGCAAGTGAACGCGAGAAAAATTAGAATACCGATAGGTTCTGCTGATCTGAACCTAATAATTTATACGAAACGTGCGGCGGCTTTCAAAGAAAAATAAAATAATACTCGCAGATAACGTCATTTCCGTGCGTTATGTAATTAAATAATAACATTGAAATGAAAACAACAACAAAAAAAAAACTAAACAATTAAATACATATATCTTTGTATACAATTCGTGGTTTATCTAGTGTAATTCTCGTGTATGTCAAAACGTGGGTACGTTTGCAATCAGGTCAATTAAAAACGTATATAACGTTAGTACAGTAAAATATTGATTTTGTGGAATGCGAATTATAATGTATGCGATCGTGTGAGAATTATTATGAAACCGATTAGCCAATAAATAAACATATCATATAAATGGATAAAATTCTTTTGGAATTGCTCTCTCAAGGTTTCCGATATCTCCGTTCTGCGTGCACTGTGTACACCTGTGCAGTATGCCTCGTTACGACACACCAAACGTTTTCTTCTGTATCATTCACACGCAATTTGTTTTCGTTTATCATATTTTTTTTCTTTCTTATTCATCTTCTCATCTCTGTATTCATTTCAGTTGTAAATACCTAGTAAATTCCTTACGAAATATGAAGATAAATCAGAAAGTTTCAAAGAACGAAACAGAAAACGCATGTTTTTTTTTTCTTGAGATAAAATCACAAAGCAATTATTTTTTATTTACAAATTTTTTATTATCCCTAATTTTAGCCATTAGCCACAATAATATTGATATTTACAAAATATCAAAAAATAATTTTCAACAACTTTTTTTTAATGTTATTATTATTTAATGAATATAAACTATTATTGGAAATTTTATTATTATAATTAAATATCTACTTCATAAATATTAATTTTTTAATTAAATCTTATATAAATTAACATTAATTAAATTAAGACTAATTAATCTAAATGGTTTCAACCTTTTTAGTTGAGTATTTTTTTTACATCAAACCATTTCTTATAAAATACTAGGAAATATTCATTTTCATAATAAAGAAAATGAAATTGAAATATTTTGAAACGTACATTACATAAGATTTGGAATGTTCTCTTTGTTAAATAAGAAGGTCTTTCGGTTGAAATCAAGCAATCCAATAACAATGCATAACACTAGCATGTCGTGGTTTTTCCATTTACTAAGTAAGTAACCGATTACAATGAGTCCATGGAAAAACCAATAAACTTTAGTCTTAATCTTTATACTTCTTGAATTAACTTTGTTTTTGTTTTCTCGAGTTTAATATTCACAGATTTGATCTATCTTTTATTGGAAATTAAGTAATTATCACACCTGTCAAAATTTTGACATCTGAGGAATTATACTTTTAACTTGTCTTTAGTTGATTATTCAATAATAGAGATAGATAGATAATATTTCTTTATCATGAGATCATGTAGGCAATACTAGCAACAATATGAGTCGCTCTCGAGTGCCCCACGTTAGGCACCAAAAATATAACTTTAGCTTTCTATTGTTTAATTATTTTAACTGTAAGTTTTATCATATTCATCATGAAAGGTACTAAATTTCTCTTGAGATTAAGAGATGTTTGATAAAGAGTAAACATCCTGTCATAATTGTTTGACAATGTGCAATGCCATTTTTTTTCTTCTAGAATCTTTCAGATCTATCTTCGTGTGTGTACGTACGTATGCATGTGTGTATATGTATGATTGAGGTGTGTTCGGGTGAATCTCGAGGAGGTTTCTATGAAGACGTAAAGGTTAAGCTTCCGAGAAGTAAACAGAATGTGACGGAATGTCGAGAAAATTATAATGAAATGGAATAATGGGAGGTTGCGTTTTGAATAACGATCGATATCCCCGCCGCTCGGCGATAATAAGTTCCAGAGGCATTAGGGAAGAACGTAATTAATGGGTTTCGGCGGAATTTCAGAGCCACACGACGACAATGCAATGTTTTGTATGTATAAATAATAGGATCTCCTCTCCAGCGGCTACCAAAATAGAGGAACAGGTGTAAAGAGCCGTATACTACGTGGCACAGGCATAATAATTCATTCAGGAAAGAATAGAGTAGAAGAAAAAGAGAGACGATGACTGGGGAACAGCCTAATAACAGGATCTTTTCTATAAACCACACGGGGTGACGGTGGGACCACGAAAACATATTTCCGATGAATGCAGGTCCTCAGCAGGGGACAAATCCTTCGGGGACCCGCCACAACCAATTCACTATTACCATTTACTTTATCGCGTATCCACACTTCAATCTGTTATTTCTTGATGATCCTGGAGAGACGGGAGTTACGCAACCGTCCGGACTAAGCGCATCTTAACCCACATTGCGCAAGAGATTCGCGGCTGCACGCGATCCTCGAGCGCGGAATATAACAGCAACGACAAAGGCACCGGTAACATCTGAACGAGATACATACACACACACAGAAAAAAAATCTTTGAAGAACGACGTGAGAAATAATTTATTTAGCGGCCATAAAACGCGGATTAGATTAGACCTGGACGACGCGGGACTAAATAAATACATTAGGCGTTATGTAATCCACGATGCCCATAACTCCGGGATTACCATTTAATGGGCCGATTAAAACGCGACTTCGAATTACCGTAATTTGTCTCTCTTCTGGAGTGCCTGCCTTTATACAAACGAAAATTGTGTTTTCTTTCTGTTTTTTTTGTATGTGTGTGTATATTATCACCGCCACAAATTTCGCTTCCGATGTGTACAGTTACGTTCGTTGCCTGAAACATTATAAATGAACTGTTTCAAAACGATTCCGGTACGTTCAATTTGTAACCATTTACATTTTATAAATCAAGCCATTAGGAGCAGGCGTTCTCTTCTATTGGCGTTGGCGCAAATAGGTTCATTACGTTGCAAATTTCCTCAGAATGAACAACCTTCTCTTAAACGCAATCCCGAAGATGGGAATACCGTACTTCGCAGATGGATTACACTTCCAATTTTCTTTCTAAATAATTCTTATAATAATTAGTATTTTTTCAACAACATCTAAATGAATATAACGGTAATTACAGTGCATTCAATTATGACAGTTTGGATTATTGAAACTACTCATTGGATATTACTTGATAAATTCTTGTTAATTACTTGGAAAGTATTACACGTATTTATCGTTAGCAATCAGGAACTATGTTCCAGATTTTTTAACTTACACTTGACGATTTGCTTAAGTACTAAAGAAAATCGACAAGTACACATTACTTGGCAAGTATATCAAAATTTATTCTACATTCTTTTAAGTATAATTAATGAATTGTACAAAAAATATTTCTGATATAA